CTGGAGAAACAGCCCAGGTTAGGCCGGCGGATTGCTCGCAACCCGGTGACAACTCGACTGCACATCCGGCTTAGGTGGCTGAACCAGGCGAAGGTGGACGCTGCAGCATGGCGGCGGCGAACTAGCAAGTTGGTCGCCATCATCAGTTTCACACGCGACATCGTCGCGGAGCTTGAAGTAGGCGGAAACATTGCCGAGCTTGTGCCTGAGTGTGCAGGTGAAGCAAGGCGCCATGGACGGGACGGAGGCTTCAACAGTGCAAGATTATGGGTGGTGGAAGTATTACGTCTGTGATATCGCGGAGTCAAAACAGAGCCAAGCAGCAGGGGCGGGGGGGGGGGGGGTCATGGACGGCGGTGGCGCCTGAGTGGGGGCGAGACTGAAGGCTCCCCGTCCCCCTGAGTAGGGAACTACGCCCTTGGGAAAGCTCACAGATTGAGTAAGCGTGGATAGCCACTGAAAATCGTTTCACACGTGCATGTGCTTCGTTTCACCGCATGTCCTTGACTTTCTAGGCAATCAGAAATCGCTCTTGGTGAGCGTCTCGCACGACGCAAACGTTTTGAACTGTGGCCGTAATCAAAGTTGGCAAAGATCTGATCTAGGGATGACAAAATCATTTGCATTTTAATTGGGTATCTTCGTATACCCGAAGTTTGTCAAAACTGCCAGAGAGCATGCTGCTAACCGCTGAAAATCCATGCTTCCCCAAAAGTCTTGAAGTTAGCTGGCATTGGGTAATCTTGTTCACGCGACAAAAAGTAGTGATTCCATAATCTCTGAAATCGGATTTTTCAACCAAAGCCCAAATTCAATTCAAAATATGATCTGGGAAATACTGTTTAGGGGGTAAAAAACGTTTCCATGGCCGTTGAAATCTGGATTCGAAAGGAAAGCCAGATTTCACGACGCCATGGAAACTAGTTCTAAGCCTCAATCACAAAGTTCACAATCGCCAAGCGATCTTAACAACGTTCGATCCAGCTATCCGGGTGACCCGTGAGCTACGTGCGCCAGTAATCGATCCGGAAATGGCCAATATGTCCTGCTTGGGGACCTCTTCAGTAAAGCAGCGCGTTATGTTCTGAATATCGCGTCAATGGTACGGTATTTTACTATGGCAAGAATACTACTTTTTTAAGCGCGCTGCCAGATCTTTTTGACGTGATGGGATAGTCTCATACTGTTTATACGTACATGCGCTCATGTGTTTTTTTATCCCTCATCACTTTTTGGTTGCATTTTTTGTCACACTGTTTTATCTCTCAGACTAATGGCACGTAATAGCCACGTATGTGTGTGGATTGTCGGCTGATGTTGAATACAAATACAGATGGTTGGACATGTAGCCCATTTGATGGGACCGCAACCAATATCCACCCAAATTGTATGCGTTCTTGTAGCTCTGTTGTGCCAGTGACGAAGCATGTAAAACATTGCAAGTTCATCTAGTTCAACGACTGAAAGAACATAAAACTGCTGGGCCCAGAGCCAGACAATTTGTAAGCCATGATATATATTCTCATGCGCAAGCTCTGAGCATAGAAGCATTTCTGTGTGTCAAACTCAAGACAGAGAGGGATATTCCGGTGTGAAGATAAAGCATGTTCTTATGGGTTCTTAGCCGCAGCTACCCACACCTGTTTAAATCCTGTTTGCATGCACATGTTGATAACACCCGCTGGTTAAAGACGCCGCGACGGGCGTATCGCTGGCTAAAGTCTTGACGATATCGTCGCCCCTCATTGCTATTGGTTGCCCAGCTGCTAGATATTTCCTGTGACGATTAAGATTATATCGCTATCATTAGCTAAAGCGGCTTAACAGCCAGCTGGTGTTCTGCTTGCTTACACGGCTACTCCAAACATTCTATTCGTGACATTTGTGTTGCCCTTATAATCACTGTCTCCAAGGAAGAAGCCTTTCAGACCGACGACGGACAGGGCTCCCTGGCGGTCCGATAGATGAGGGCTTGACTCCCATATGAATCTTTTCTGACGGTGGGGGGGGGGGGGGGGGAGGGGCGACAAACCGTGCGGTGCATCGCAATGGCGGCTCTGGGAAGGGCCTGGGCTCTGTCTTCAGACCTCGTGTCCATTGGCTCCCTCAGTGCGTCTCCCGTCGGCGCCGCCTGCAGTGGACTGCCGGTCCTCGGTTTGTTCCCAGCAGCCAGCCAACGAGTCATTAAGGGCGCCTATGGCCGAAACTTTGGCATGTAGCACCCCTACCTTTTCCGAAGTCACCGCCACTACACAGTATGTAGGCAATCGATGCAGATGACTTTCTAAACCGACGATGTAATCCCCAAATGCTTGCCTTTCGATCACAGTCTAAATGCAGCTCAGTGCGTGCTTATTTTCAATAAATGCACCACCGTAAGGGGGGAGGTAACTCCCGTGGATGTTCGTGCCAAGCCGGACACCTACCTAGCTACATTTTCGGCGAGCTACATTTTTGGCGAATCCGCTATCTACATTTCCTTGCAAAGACCAGAGACGAGCTTGCTTGATAGGTTTTGGTACACGTTGTATTGCAGATGTGTCGTTGGGAATCACCTGAGGTGAAAACATGGCGCATCGTCAAGCATCTGAACAATACAGCCTTGGCTTCCCCGACACCCCACTGCACAACCGCACTTATCATATGCAATTTGATCGGCACGTTCACCGAGATAGCTTGATTATTCTAATTCGGAATATTCATGTTTGTCACAAGGACTGTTTTTACTCGGCTACATCAGCTGTGAGTCGCAGTTATTGCCTGGTTGGTGTGTACCCCGCTGATGTTGTTCGCCAGATGGTGCGGAAAATTTGATTCCAGTCCACCGCGACTCCAATCTCGATCTCTGGAATGCCGGCCCAGTTTGCTAACCACTGCACCTCAGGTGCCCAAATGAATCGCCTTCTTTAACTGCCTTTGATGGTTCCTATTGCTAAATGGTAAGTATGTTACTGGGAACTCTCATGCCTGGGAATCATTCCCTTTGACACAACTGGCGGCATTCCAGAGATCCGGCCGTAGTCCCAGTGGGAAAACCTAAATTATTCGCACTAGCTGCCGAACAATATAGGGGCCATGCAATTTGGGCTCATCAAAGATGGAGAAGTTGAACAAAATCAGCTTCATGCAATTATGGATATTTGACTCATGATAGTTGATGAGTTAGGACAATTATTCAAGGACAGGGACTTAGTTGAAAGCAAATAATCGAAACTTCAGCAAAGTTGATGGCCAACACGATTACGACGATCGTGATGGGTGCACTGTGCAAAACGTGTCTCTCTAAAACGTGCTAAATCCCAAAAGTGTGCACGGACGCTTAGAAAGCTTTGGAGCGCACATTTGTATCAATTTTGTCATCGATACCAGTTTTCCATTTCGACATATTCTTGAGTGATTCCAGAATAATGACATAAAGCTTGTGTGAGATGGTTCTACGTTGAGCAACTGAAATGGATTGCATACTTTGCTTCAAAAATGGTCTGGGATCCAGAAATGTCATTACGGTACGACTGACTGCACCACCAAAAACTACCTCAAATAGACATAGTTTAAGCGGACTGATGCGATGAGGCAGAGCCAGCGCGGTAGCCCACACCTTCTTGCCAAAGCAGGCGCTTAACATCCGCCCTGATAGGGAGAAGTGGGAGTTCGACGCTACCCTAAGGTTTTTTTGGGATACATCTCCGGCATGCCGTCCAATCACGCCAAAATGTTCAGTATTCTGTGAGTCATCCCTTGCACGTTTTTCGACACAAAAAACAGTTCCTAGCCTTTCTGGTTTCGGACCAGCGGCGGCTGTCGAGGAACACTGCACAGCAATCTACGACCGGGCGGCGGGGTGCAACTGACGATGCCGCGGAACGCGCGCGGCGGGTAGACATAGTTACATTCGCAGTTACGGAGTCTTATATCATAAATCTAAGCTCAAAACACATACAACATATACACAATTGCACTCGGAATTCAGCATGAAATAGGCCAGTTTAGGTTTCGCGTCGCCAAAATGTGAGATATCGTATGAATAATGTTGTAAAACTGAAAAGTGCGAGTTTCTGGAAATTGAGCCCTTGACCTGGCATAGTCAGGTCAATTGTAAGCCTCACAAGATGGAAACTAGTACTGATCACAAGACTGAGACTAAGAAGGGATATTTTCTTCTAAGCTCTGTCTTCGTTACTCTGGCAACGTTAGTTCGGACATTTCGTTTTTAAAAGCATAACAACGTTTATACGGCATGCAGACTGTAGTGCATCTTAACGATTTGATCCCCACTTCTCTTGCGCATTCAGTATATTGGTATGAGTGCCTCAGGTAAGCACGCCTTCAAATGCAAGCAACACATTTCATTCGATTGGCACCTGAGCTTGTGACTTCATATTGCACGGCTTTACATCAGGTGACCAATGAAACGCTTGATACAGATATTCCTTCTTTTATTGCAGATGTGCATGCATCGTGAACATACCCTCGCACCTTGTTTTCGTCAGCTATGCCATTTCCTGGATAAAAGACTGACTTCGGAAATAGTTTTGAATTGCGGCTCGCTTTAAGAATTTGAAAGTCCAATACCTCGGCGCTTCCGACCTGTCCTTGTTCATCAGATCATAGTTATTTCCATACACGAACACGTCGTTTTCAGAAAACCTGCCGCAGGCATGTCACTATTCGACCGCTGAGGCTAAGCGGCCAGTTAAAAATTGATGGTCATACAAATTCTAAAGGGTGTAAGACCATACTTCTGAATTCTCTGAAGCTTGACTGAATTCGAAAAGAAAAGTCCTTTAAGATGATGCTCGCCTTTCGGACACGTATCACTCCTCACGAAATGAAATCAAATCTACATGTATTTTTAATGATGCGCGATTATACGAGCCAATAGCGTGCATTGCCCACTTACATAAACAATTATTTTACATCGATTGTAACTTGCTGACACCACATCACCGCCAAATGAAAGGTGAAAATCAGTAAATTATTTAGACCGAGATCAGGGTGTTTAAAGCGTTGGGCAACTCGGTCGCTACATGCAGCGCTATTAATACGCGCGACCGTACATCTTTTGATAAATTAACACTTGATATCACATTTTAATAAAGCATACAACTGAAGGTTCTTTGCTTCTTTATAGCTTCTTTGGCAACCACAACTGCAATCCTAGTCTCATCCGAACACTCATCAGAGCAGAGGATATTTGTGCGCCGGCAGCGGCACAAGCTTGCCGTCCACGTAGTGTTTACAGACAAGGCGGGCACAGCATTCGGGGAACTCCTTCCTCCTGTCTCCCCGAGCCTCGCGGCAGAACAGGTTGTCGGCCTGCAGCTTCTTAAAGTCCACCTGCTTTTTAACCTGCGGACACCTGCAAAAGCGAAGTGTTGATGAAGACAAGCCAACATCCAAAGCCGCTGGTTTTACGGGACGAGTATGTTGACAAACGGTAAAGTATACAGAGCTGCTTAAAGCGAATGCAGTTTTCCTCAGCGTCCAAGTGCCAATTCATGAAATGTAGATAATGGAAGTTGCAATAGAGTTCTTACTAAAACAATATCACATGTTCCTTTTGCTCCATAGGACGACCTGTGACACTGCGTGACATTTCCTGGCGAGATCAATCCGTCAGACTCACTGGAATCTGTCAATGTAGAGAACGCCCTCCTCCTTGACGCAGTGACTCTGTTTACAGCCAGAGAAGGGGGAGCTCCATACGTCGCCTATGTTGAACTCCTTGTCAATGTTGCTGTCATGACATTTGGTGTCGTCATCTGGAATATGCATATCCGACCGCGGGTTAGACTAAGATCATTGGTTGGAGGGATCGCGGGTTACATCGGAGGTTAAAATTGATCGCTCGCTGTCCTCGAAGTCAAAATATCCAACACATTCATCTTGGTAATACGGCATTTTCCATGCTGAAATGTCAAGCCAATGTTGTCTTATGGTCGTCAGTTGAGCAACAAGCGAAGTGAAGAAACAGTATCTCTCCAACCCAAATCCTTACCTCTACCAACCGGGAAGCGAAGGTACCTCGGGTACTGTGCACAGCACAGCTGCACACAAACAATCAGCGATGACCAGTAGTTTCAACATATTGCTGTCTGAAAATCTGACACTAGTCCACGCTCGTCTGTTGTCTGGTCTGGCCACGATACGCTTCTGTATGCAGTCCCCAGCGGCCGGCTCGCTATATATGCGTCACCAGACTGTGACGTCACGGTGCACAGGGCTGGCCGTAGTGTGGGAGGCCTGCGAGAAAATCTCTTCAGCAGCGATGTTTTCGACGCCGTGCATGCAGTGGTTACATTGCGGTCATTCGGGGAGAACGTCGTTGGAAGAGTGCTATTCTCGACACCTTGCCTGACGCCCGGCTTTTGGGCACCGACAAGGTGACAAGTCCGTTCCAGTGGAGCCGATACGAGATCTGTGGTAAAACCAGCCGGTCGACGATGCTGAACATGCCGGATGGACTTAGAGAGGGAGGCGAGCGGTGTAGGGTCATGATGGTACACACTGCATTAGTTTTGAGAACCATGACGTCGTGGTCAGTGCATTGCAACGTCATGGAAAAGTCACATGGTGACTGAACCTCTTCTATGATTTGCATTAAATGTAAATACGCACTTTTCAATAAGGCCTTGCGGCAAATTATGTAACACAGTCCCCATGACAATCATCTATGTCGGATGGTGATGTTTTTAGTCAGGATCTCAAGATGATAATCAATGTCTAGCAAATGTGTTCACATCAATTAGAAATGTCGGTCGCATTTGAAGACTGCATCCAGCCGCGAACGCACAATATTCGGAGAGAATATTAAATGTTCGGGGTCCCTGACACAATGGCTCCTGTGTCGGTCAGGGGCCAGCTGCGCGGGTCAGAAGGCGTCCCGCGTAAGGGAGCGGACCAAATATGATATGATGTGTCCCTATAAGGTCTCACATCAGCCAGAGATGCCACCCCGTGTCGGTAGCATGACGCCCGGAGAACACACCGCGGTGCGACAGAATGGCCCTTCAACCCTTCATCGGGAACAAAACTGCGCACCGTAGTGTTCTACTCAAGGGGGGCCATTTCACCGGAAATGAAAGGTCTCATTAGCTTCGAATGGAGTCGGTCGAAAAAAGTTCAAAACGCGACAAGCCATCCCATGCTTGCCTGGGAACGTTCATTCTTTGCAGAATCGACTGGTGAAATAAATAACATCAAAATGTTTGAGTCTGCGCGCCGGGTGCCGATAGTGTAGTGGCGCCTACGTTAACCGCAGCGCGGTGTGGGAAACTTCAGGTGCGTGATTCGATTCCTCGCGGTGCTCGCTCTTCTCGCCATGGTGAGAGGCTGGCGACGCCGTGTAGCCCCAGCAGCTGAGTGGCATCACAAAGCCCGGATGACACGCCCGTAATCTCGGGAGCAAGGAAAGCGACGGCTTGGGTTGCAGTTTTCGTAAAACCTTTTTCGTAAAAAAAATTATTCGTCCGTTTTCAACGTTGTCTTTCGTGGGGAGCCGAAATTCCACGAGCGGGTAGGCATTTTGGGTCATTGAGGAGGCATCGGTCCCCACAAGGTAGATTCCAAAATATCGCCTGATCATAGTCTGGTGAGAATTCGAAAGTGAATCGATGGCTCAAAGTACAACAGATTTTGCATGCGCCTTATTTTGCTGGATGCTTTTCAGGAGATAAGACTAGTCGTGGCATTTTAGGGGGAAGCAAATTCGGAAGCTTGAAACTGCCAAAAACCAGGTGACAAAGCCGTAGAAGTGGATAGTCCTTCTTTGAAAGCGAAGCCACAGAATGAAGGCCCTTCTGTCATATAGTTCTTGCCTGAGCACTGCTCCGGTCAGCCGTCGGTGGCAACTGCCTTGCCCGGCTGTCCTTCGAATGACTGACCGCTAACCGATGGTATGGCGGCTTTGTTGCGCATTTCTGGATCAGCATTGCCACTATCTTCCCTTTCGCCACACCGCCCCAGAAAAATCCCGCCGCGAAGCTGCCTAATTTAGGTATGAATTAGCCAAACGGATATTTAATTGCCCGTCATTCAACGTAGATGATTGATCTGTCCTTATGTGCAGGCTGGGGGTGCCAGAGCCTTCCTAAGAGGAACACAGGGTTGAAAAAGCCCCCCCCCCCACCTTATGGTGATCCCCCCACAAAAATATCCCAGGATATAGTTTGGTTGCTAGCGAGGGATACTTTTTTTCTTCGTTTCACTGTTATTTTTACGTCGTCAACCAGAACAGAAACCAGAGACTTCCGTGAAATCCATTCTGTTTACATTTTTAACACGCACCCGGGTGGCCTGCTAGATACCCTTCGGTCGGGTGGGGGTCAATTTGATCCCTCCCCCCTGAGATCTCGGTAACTAGGAGAGCTAGAAGCACTAAATTTACAGCGTGCCTTGACCTGTACGTTGACTCACTTAGTCAAAGTTTGAGGTTCCTAGGTCATGACTTTCGGGTCAAAAAAGGTCAAACAGGTTCAAATTCCAGGTTGGTTTCTTAAGTGCCCCAGAACCTAGATAAACTGCTTCTAAAGAAAAGGTCACATGTTCAGTTAATGTCAGTAACCTTGTTTTGACCTTTTGAAGGTCATGACGACCAAAATCATACAGGACTGCTCTGAATTTTGCATTTGAATAAGCGACAAAGATTACGCCAAGCAATGTTTTTCTAAAAACAAAATGTTAACCCAGGTCATTTAGGGTCAATGATATATTCCGACCTCTAACAAGTCCATGAAAGATGTATAATGGAGTTCCTGCTGTCAATAAACTCGAAATGAGCACCAGAATCTATCCCGTACAGCAGGCCCTAAGGTAATACAACAGGTAGTTTTTGACCTTGGTCTGACCCTTTTGCCTGACCTTAGGTCAACGCAACTTGCTCATTCAATATTTGTGTTGCCTAAGAAAGCATCCCAGAGATGGATGGCTTCGTCTAGCACTCAATGGTTGCATCAGATTGAACGATTACCTAGAAGTTGACTTCGCTGAAACCATGGCCTGACTTTGACCTGCCATAGGCAGCGACCCTTACAAAGTACATCTAATTTTTTATGCCAAACGATTCGCTATTCAATTGTCTAAAGCTATGCAAAACAGGGCGCGGCTGCGCCGCGCCATTCGGAAACCATCTTGAAAACCTTGGGGGGGCGAGCCGAGTTGACCCCCACCCGAGCGCGTGTTAATATCAATAAACTTCAGAATCAAGCGTTATAACGACCGCATGGAATAAATCACCGGTGTCCGTAATTACAAGGGCTTAGTAGACTCTTTCTATACCGATAGAAGTCAGAAGCTTTTCATAATGTTTTATCTGCATTCTACATGCATTGAGGACGCCGCGAAGGCAGATTGCAGAGCGATGTGTTTGATCGAAATTTGAGGATGAAACATTTTGATTGTAGATCGAGGTGGTCAACAATGTGTATTAACGTCACCAATCCATGTTTGTTTGGAAATGTGCAGCATTGAAGCAAAATGGAAGGGGTCTTTGTTTGAATACAGATCAGGGTATGAATAAGAATGCAATCTGGCCTTCTGATCCATCAAAACATAGCCAGAAGACGAAAACATTCGCTTGCTTAGATAATCTTTTCAACGAACACGACTTTAAGCTATCGAAAACACACCCTTGATACGCATTTCCCAACGTACCGCAACTTATACGTTATACCCGGGCCTGATGTGTCGCCCTGCCCGAGACTTATCCAAATCCAGTGGTAGAAAGGGGCATTCATAAAATGCTACCCTCACCGGAAAAAACAGGAGCTTTCAATGCCGATTCATACAAATGCTGGCTTGTATAATTAATACAAACATATCAGGGTGAGACACTGTAAAGCCAGCTGTCCGAACTAGCAAGCAGTTCGTTTCTCAAGTGCAAACGCTAAAAGTATCGTGAGGTCCTGCGCCTGAGAGCCGTCTCACTCGCCGGTCGGGTCGGGCCGCCCCTGCCCGCCACACGAGGGAGGGCGCCTTTTGTGCGCGGCGTGCCGCGGGGTGTGCCGTGATTCGGCCGGGGCCTCTTCCCCCTGTCTGCATACCACTGACGCCGACCCCGTTAGATCGCAGCTATTTCTGCCGTGCGAGAGCGGCTTTGCTAGTAGTTTCATTCATGCCAGTTTGGAGACGCCCTGAAAAACGCACTCGATTTCTGGGCGTTGACTAAGATAGTGGCATGATAATGCTGCAGCGTCATAAATTCAGGTATGACACTAAAACAATACAGTTATACAAAAATATGGCACTTATATGGCAACTAAGACTCCAGCTGTTGGAAAGGCACATGTTCGGAACAAAAGAGCGCAGAAAGATCTATGCGAAATAGAACAGCACCTTCCTCAAAGCAAATGCAAGACATGACCAGCCGTACGCAATGTGTGAATACCTGGCTCCATGAAGCCAACTTAATTTCCGAGGTCCAAACTCAAACAAGACTGCAAAGTACACCCATTGCCGCAAGTTGCATGCATCTCGCAGCGTATCCCGGAACATGCACTCAAGGTGCATGCCACTTGAGCAGGCTGTTGGCAGTCTGCAAAGTATTCTGATGCGGTCTACTCAGTTACAAGCATTCCGCGGGCACGGCCAGCGACATCACGCCCACCCCCAAGGTTCGGCGGCTTTTGCCAAAGGACCAGTTCTCACAATGGTGACCAGTACCCCTCTTGAAGCTCGCGGCGATTACCCAGCGGGGTGGCGGGGGGAGCGGCGGCGGTCGCCAGGCGCCGCCACCGCAAAGATGTGTGCGTATGGAGAAGGTGTC